GAGGGCCTCGTGTTATTCTGTGTCCCGGCCGGACCCCGACAGCAGGACGTGCTAACCTGTGGGCCTGGGCAAGCTGACCAGTAGCCTTTCCTGACAGCAGAGCCTCGCGCCACCAGACCAAGAGCTCCCTGGGGCCAGAGCATGTGTCTTTTCAGTTCACTGCCTGCCAGCCTGGTGCCCAGCCCAGGGTAGGTAGAAGCATAACCAAAGGGCGAGGGGCAGGAGGGAGGGGGGCTTCCCGGGCCACTCCCAGCCCACTGTACCACGTGGCCTGTGTGTACTCCTCTCTGGGGCACCCCCATCCCTTCACCACTCCTGCCACAGAGAAGGGGCACGGCCTTCCCGGGCCCTATTTGCTTCCTAACCCATCCACCTCTCTTGGCCACTCTTCCTACCATCTCCTGCTAATCAGCCAGAATATGGCATTGAAGCTGATAGAAATATCTGTTGTATTTATTATATTAAATTTAGTATTTTTCCCCTTAAAGTATTCAACAAGGTGATTTTCCCATGTGGTATGTCTCGCTGCCCCTGCTGTCTCCAATGTCGAAATTAGGTCGCCTTTTCCAACGTTTAGCTCAGGCCTAGTCTCCGCCCCGCGAAGCCTGACCCCGGAGCCCTTGATCCCCTCCTCTGCCTCAGGAGACGTCCGTGGGCCGGACCCCGGTGGGGGGGGGGGCAGAGGAACCGAGGGCGGAGCGAGCTCCCTGTGCCGCCGCAGCTCCAGGGGTGGCCTGCGGGGCAGGGGCCGGGCCCCAGCCGGGGGCAGCACGGCAGGTGTGGAGCAGAGCCAGGCCCCGGGGCTCTCCCTGAGAGTGCGCCTGAGGCTGGGGCCAAGTGCTGTCAGGGTGATCACTCGGTTTCCTGGCTCCTCTGGGTCTTTTAAGTTTTGTTTTCAGGTTTGTTTTTTTCTTTCTGGTTTCCTGTTTGAGTGTTTGAATTATTTCAGTTTTGGTACAGTTTAGAGAACGGAAAAAAAAAAAGGCTGAGTAGAATTTTACCACAAAAGAACAGTGGCTTCTTATTTTTTCAGTTCTAGTCAATGGTCTCATCTGCCACATGTAGTCTGAGTGATCACAGATCGGAGTTTAGTGTCAGATGGCCACACTGCTGGCTTCAGGAGGTTCTGGTGTCATTACCCAAAGGACATCGCAACTACCTAAGTGTTGCCTCGGATTGTGTGGGTTGAGGTCTCAGCAGGTGGTAATGCTGATGACTGGGGGGGTGTGTAAGACCTAGTTGGTCCACTTTCCGCTGTCACAGGAATGCCTGGTGCCTCACGTATCACCTCATTTCAGCCACCACCCAAGCGGTCCAGCCCAAAAGGGTTAAAAAGAAATTTCATTTTTATCTCTTGATGAGCATTAAAAAGGATCAAATCCATAATTCCTGGCAACGCTTGTTTTCTGCCTCTTCGCTGCCAAAGCCACCCCTCGTCCCCTACTCCCCTTGTTTCTTGCCTTCTTCTCGTTCCCCTGTTTATTATGTTGAAAGACTGACTCCATGGTGGTGGAACTTCTCTCTTTTCCTGTTAGTCCAGGGGGCGCCCCCCAAGGCCAGCTCCCCGTTAGGCAGGGCACCAGGCAGGGGAGGGGAAGTTGGGCGGGTGGGTGCTGACCTCTCCCTGGCCGGTTGGCCGAGGGGGACCCCGGCAAGATTCTGACATGGAAGATCTTATCCCATCTCGGCTGCATTGGGGGAAATGAGATTTGACTCAGGAGATCATCAAAGCTGTGGCCATGATAGTGTTTTGCTGGGCGCCTCATTTATGGTGTTCTCTTCCGTGTCTGTTGTTTTGAGTTGTGATCCAGTTATTGACACACGCAGGAGAAATTCTTTAAAACTCTCTTTTTAAAGAGCCTGGATCCCACTTGCTGTAGCAGAGCTGGCTTGGGATTCACTCAGCTCCATCGTTCAGAGGCAGGGTAGGCAAGTGGGACAGCGTCCAGCTTCCGCATCGCAGTGCCCCGTGCGCTTGAATTCTAGCTCTGTGGCTTATTTCATCTTTGCCTCGCAGTGTCCTCAGGCGATAAAATAATAATGAACATGTTTTGGGTACTTGCCGTGTGCCTGGCCATGAGCTCGTCACTTTTCCCAACATATCCTTGGAGCATCCCGCAGCTCCAAGGGGGCCTCCGTGTTACCAGGGTAACGGTAGCGAGAGGAGCCCCTGAGCCACCCGGCGCTGGGCTGTTCTGTGGCCATCCCTCCCGGGGTTAAGGAACAGGCACTTGGGGGCATGGAGTCACCCACCCCGTATACTGCAGGACCAGGGCCTCCTTACGCCACTGCGTTTCTAGGAGCGAATGAGACAATCCTGTAAAACGCTTGCTGCAGGGTCTGGCACATAGCAAAACTCAAACTGTAGCTCTTTTAAACTGTCAGAGCCCCACTCCTGATAATATTTTCATATGAAGTTATGTGAACACCTCGGGGTTCTCTCTGAGCTGCAGCCCACTCCCCTGTGACCTCCTGAGTCCCACCTCCAGGCCGCTCCCTGGTACCCACACCAGCCCCCATGATCTGCTCCCTGGCCCTTCTTGGCTAGTACCTGTGGCTGCACTGGGTAGAGTGGATACAAGGAGTTTAGGCTCGTATTCTTGGTTTGCGTGGGAAGGGGGTCTTCAGCCCTCACATGTTTTTTTCTGAGAAGTTGATCGTATCGCCCTTTCTTGGGTTGGAGGTGGGTTTAATTTCAAGGATTAGGGCAGTAGGCTAGGGAAGTGTGTGCGTGCGTGCGTGCGTGTGTGTGCGTGAGCGCGCACATGTGTGTAGGTGTGAGGAGACCATAATCTGCGGTGGGTCCCCATGGAGGCCCTGGCAGCTGTCGAGAGGCCTCAGGCTCAGGAGAAGCCCCCATTTCAGGGGTCTCAAATCAAATGCCCCGAGGGGCCGGGCAGTATCTTTTAAGAATGCAGCACGTTGATTGGAGTGTGTGTGTGACAGATGAGAGCAGTGCCCCATGGAGGGGGCAGCAGCCAGCCCCCAGCCTAGTGACTGCAAGCCCTCCAAGTCCACACAAAAACCGGGACTACCCGGTGGGAAGTAGGCAGATGCTCTAAAAGGCTCTTCACAGAGGAAGAACTATGAACGTGTTACTGCAGTGAGAAATCGTAACCGGTCCTGGGGTTTAGGGAAATGGAGGTTTGTACATGTGGCGGGAGTGTCAACTGTTTGAGGGGGCACTTTGGCAACATCTGTAACATCTGGAAATGTGCACACCCTTTGACCCAGAGTTTCCTCTTCTAGAAATTATCCTAAAAGATACCGTGAGTCCACGAGGACTCTTGGAGGAAAATGTTTGTAAAAGTGAAAAACTGGGAAACAATCCAAATGCTCATCAACAAGGCAGTGATTATATATACATATGATGCTCTCTCTTTATACTAAAATATTATACATTCTTTAAGAAGAATAATGTAGACTCTTTAATAAGAGTCTGAATTATAGATGCAAAGGCATTATAGCTTACATTTTTGAACAATTCATTAAAAACTTTGTACTAAATATCTAGGTAGAGGTAAATACATAATTAACAGCTAATCAATTGTTCTAAACAGGTAAGTACCTGCTTTTGAAAATGTACTTTTCCAGTAAAGGGTACATGATGTCTGTCTCTTGTAAGCTTATTTCTTAGAGCTGCGTATGAATGTACAACGATCTAAAAATAAATAGTTTAATTGAATAATAAAAAAATGTCCTTTTAAATAATTATAAACATGCATATTTTTATTCGCTGGTAACTTTATTTCTTTATTTGCTGGTAAATTGTTTCTTTATTGAGAGTATATATATTTCTTTATTGAGAATGTATGGCAACTTTACTGAGATATGCATATCAAATATCCATACGATCAAAAATGCTAAAATTGTAGATTCCGAATCCAGGAGGCTTTTACTACAGTTAATCATTGGAATTTTACTAAACCAATGTGCCAGGGAGGGAACTGTTTCACAATGAACCCCAGGAGGTTTGGCCACCATTCAAAAGTTCTCTTCCTCATTTGTACTTAAGCATTTTACGTGTTTAAACATAATATAATTAGGAATCTGTTGCACACAGTAAAATATTGCAAGTACGTAGTTTGGGCTCTCCTGGCCTGTGAATTTTCTCTCCTGTCACATCAGGAATCGTAATGTACCCTGTAAGCTGCACACCTAGCTCCATCCACGACTATTTTAAGTGGCCCACTTTCTGGAAACGATGTCTCTGTGCCTGCTGTCTGAGTCTCGTTCTGTGCGTTCAGATGATGGCATGTGTTTTGGCCCATAATGACCTAAGAGTATCGCCGTGGGCAAAAGTGGGTGGTGGCCACACGGCAGGAGACTCCCCTGGTGTGATTGACTCCTGTGGGCTCGGTGCTGAGCAGACTCCCTTGATCATTCTTGGATTTAACAGATATTCTACACAGTGCAAGGCGCAATGTGCTAGTTCTTAAATGATTTCATTCCATCTTTCTCCAGCGAGGTCAGTATTTTTACTCCCATTTTACAGTCAAGAAAATTCAGGGGAAGAGAAATGAGGTGTCCCATAGTCAGACAGCTGAGTAAGTAGGAGAAACGGGTTTTAAATTCAGGTCTGAGGGATTCCAAAACCCATGCTGTTTATGTTCCCTATTCCTCTTGAATTCCGTGGAACAAAGATATCTTTATATATGACACTGATTATAGGAGAACTAGGTGTCTCTTTAAGTTTTAGATTGAATTTTCAAACGCTTTAAAAAATGTTTGTATAAATCAATGATAGACTCTTTACAGGTAAAATTATCCACTGTATCTTTTTTTTCCACCTTAAACAAAGCCTTGTGTAATTGTGATGTATATTTATTTATTTATTTATTGAAATATAGTTGATTTACAATGTTAATTTCTGCTGTACAGCAAAGCGACTCAGACACATATATACATTCCTTTTTATATTCTCTTCCATTATGGTTTATCGAGTATATTAAATATAGTTCCCCATGCTATACAGTGTTATTATTATTAAATTTTTGTAGGAAATGACCAAGTGTACTCCTGGACACTCGTCACCAGCCAAGCCTTAGATACCGCTTGGAGAGTAGCAAAGGGGTCAGTGGTGTTGGCAGTTTCATTTCTGGTGGGCACCCTCTGCTACCTCAGAAGGCTACATTTATATTTAGGGCACCGGCTGAAAAGGTATGTGGCTATGTCATCTTTAATTTTCAAAAATGCCCTTGCTGTTTAAAATAGAATTTTGATATTATCGTTCCCTTATCTTTCAGGTGGATTGGATATCTGCAGAGGAGATTCAAAAGTAAATATTTTCATGCATATGTTTCCTTATTTTTAGAGTGCAGAGAGGGTTCAAGAAGGGAAAGGAAAGGGAAAATTCACCACCTTGTATCTTTGATTTGGTTCAGGGAACCTCAGTGTGGAGGCAGAAGTTGATTTACTCAGTTATTGTGCAAGAGAATGGAAAGGAGAGACACCCCATGCCAAGCTGATGAGGAAGGTGTGTCTGTTTATACAGCTCGTGGTGGGTGGAGAATTTGTGTGTAAAAATCGGGAAACACGCATTCCATTCTGCTTTACCAGATGTGGCACCAAGAACAACTTGTGGCTCTAATTAAAAGCCAAACAGCTGCTAGACATTGCCTTCGGGCCTTTCACCTAGAGCTAGCGCCTTCGAGGACTTGGGTAAATTAGGCCCGTAATTTCAGGACACTTGAGCGTTGTACCCTTTTCAGCTCCCTGCTGGCCAGGCCTATGAACACATCTGCACATGCAGTGGAGACTTCTGTCCTTGAAGGAGGGATTCAGGCACCTTGACATAAAACATTTTGAGGATTTTTAGAACTTTCCATCAGACCAATCTTGGTAAATATTCCCAGCAGTGCTGTCCAACCTTGTCACTAGCTAAAGCCAAAAAAAAAAAAAAAAGAGAGAGAGAGAAAGAAAAAGAAAAGTACATTTAAATGACACTTTAGAAGTATATATAGTATTTTTCACTGTGTTCAAGTTGTAGACATCATCTCCCCAGAATGACATTTCCTGGCTCTGGGCTTCCAGGAAGTTACCAACTAAAATAGCATGACATGGACTCCATACACACAAAAGTCACTTGAAAATTACACGTGTTCGCATTCATAATTTATAATTGTTTTGTTTCTGTTGTCCACTTTATCTGGGAATAACACCTTGCTGAAGATGCAGTGGATTTGCTTTCTTTATTCTCTCATCCAGTGGAATTAAAGACAGCCTCTCCTCTCGTGCTCATAGGCTTATGAGGAGCTGTTTTGGCGGCGGCATATTAAATGTGTTCGACAAGTAAGGAGAGACAACTACGACGCACTAAGGTCGGTGCTCTTCCAAATCTTCAGCCAGGGCCTCTCTTTCCCATCCTGGATGAAAGAAAAAGATATTGCGAAGGTACGTTCTCACACCGGCAATTCGGGAAAGGTCGCACTGATGGGGACTGCAACACAGATGCTCGGGGTCTTCTTTGGGTCTTCTTCTTTGTACACAGGGCGTCAGGAGACTGAAGGTCCTTTAGCCCAGTCCTCTGTCTCTCATGTCAGTTTGCAAACAAATCATCTCAGAAGGATAGTCGCACTCAATTTTGTTTGTTTTTAATGCCGGCATCTTTTCTTGAGAAGGGCATCTGTCCTTTATAAGTTAGGTGGTGTGCTAAAATTCACTTTTCTACTCTATGATTATTTGAGTGTTGACAAGCACAGTATGTAACCTCCACCCCAGAGAATCCCTTGTATCCCTTTTTGTCAATCCTTCTCTCACCCCCAACCCCAGGCGACCACTGATATGTCTTCTGTCCCTTTAGTTTTGCGTTTTCCAGAATGTCACATAAATGGAATTATTCGGTGTGTAGCCTTTTGGATCTGCCTCTTTCACTTAGCATAATGCATGTGCAGTTCATCCACGTTGTTCCATGGATTTGTAGTTCACTCCTTTTATTGTTGAATGGTGTTCCATGATATGAGTGCCACATATTTTGTTCATCTATTCATGAGCTGAAGGACATCTGGATTGCTTCCAGTTTATTTATTTATTTATTTGGTTGCCCTGGGTCTTAGTTGCGGCAGGCAGGCTCCTTAGTTGCAGCTCGCAGGCTCCTTAGTTGTGGCATGTGGGACAACTCTTAGTTGCGGCACGCATGTGGGATCTAGTTCCCCGACCAGGGATCGAACCTGGGGCCCCTGCCCTGGGAGCATGGAGTCTTAACCACTTTGCCACCAGGGAGGTCCCCAGATTGCTTCCAGTTGTTGACAATTATGAATAAGGATGTTATAAATATTCCCATACAGGATTTTGTATGAACGTAAGTTTTCATTCCTTTTGGGTAAATACCTAGGAGTGAGATAGCTGGGTCACATGATAGGTTTAACTTTATAAGAACCTGCCAACTCTTTTCCAAACTGGCTCTGCCATTTTGCCACCAATAACGGAGTTCCAGTTGCTCCACATTCTCAGGTTTATTGTTTTGTTTTTTAGCCGTTCTGATAGGGGTGCATTTGTGTCACTGCCTTTTCTTTGCATTCCCCTAATGGGTAATGATATTGAGCATCTTTGCATGTGCTTATTTGCCATCCACATTACCTCCTTGGAGAAGTCTCTGTTCAGATCTTTTGCCCATTCTTTTGTTGTTGTTTTTTTTTTTTTTTTTTGAGGTATGCGGGCCTCTTACCGCCGTGGCCTCTCCCGCTGTGGAGCACAGGCTCCGGATGCGCAGGCTCAGCGGCCATGGCTAACGGGCCCAGCCGCTCCGCGGCCTGTGGGATCTTCCCGGACCGGGGCACGAACCCGTGTCCCCTGCATCGGCAGGTGGGCTCTCAACCACTGCGCCACCAGGGAAGCCCCACCCATTCTTTATTGGGTTGTTTGGGTTTTTTTAATATTGAGTTTTGAGAATTCTTTATATATTCTGAATATGAGTGCTTCATCAGCTATGTCATTTGCAAATATTTTCTCCCAGTCAGTACCTTGTTTTTTTCATTTTCTTAACAGTTAAAGCAGCACAGTCTTATGAATAACCTTAATTTTTATTTGAGTGTAGTATGCCTAACCACAGGTGTACATTTAAGGATGGAGGAGCAAAGAAATATAAAGTATTTGCATATATATAACTACACATGGTCTATTTCCTTACCATCTTTTGTTTAGAGCTGTTTTTAGTGGTAGTTTAATTGCATCTAGCAGTTAAGTGTGTGCTATGTGCCAGCCCTGCTGCTAGTTGCTGAGGACAAAGAACTTAGCTGAGGCCCTGGGCTCCACAAGCTCAGCTGGGTGGGAAAATGTATCCGATACCCACAATGGATCAGATTCTTACGTATTCTGTAATCTTATTTAGTCCCAACAAGAGTCCTGCAAAATGGATAGTACTGTCATTGATTTTTGACAATTGTCATTGTCTCCATTACAGTGGAAGATGAGGCTAAGAGGTTACATAGACAGTGCTGGGTGAGTAATCTCTCAGCAGGCGAGTGACAGAGCTAGGTTTGAACCCCAAAGTGCATCCTTGTACAATCTACATTCCCCTGATATACTATGTTACTCTAACGGTGCTTGGTTAAAAATAATTTCTAAAGGGGTATACCTAGGAAGTTCGGGAAATGTTTTATCCAAAAAGCTTGTTTCTGTAGACGTAATCTTCATTTAGGTTTTCATCAGTTGTGAAACTGTGAATTAAGAAGATGATCCAAATCATTTAATCCACAAATCTAAAACAAGACTGTAGGGCTTCCCTGGTGGCGCAGTGGTTGGGAGTCTGCCTGCCAATGCAGGGGACACGGGTTCGTGCCCCGGTCCGGGAAGATCCCACATGCCACGGAGCGGCTGGGCCCGTGAGCCATGGCCGCTGGGCCTGCGCGTCCGGAGCCTGTGCTCTGCAACGGGAGAGGCCACAACAGTGAGAGGCCCGTGTACCGCAAAAAAAAAAAAAAGACTATATGTTTTTACTTAACTGTTGTTATAGTCTTTTAAAATGAAGATTCTGAATGGGATAAGATTGTCTCCTGTGACATGTTCCAAGTTGTGTGTCAGACATGTTGAGATACTGATCACTGTTGGCATCTACTTCCTTTTTAAGCTTCCTGAAAAACTGCTCTTTTCACAAGGTTGTAATTGGATCCAGCAATACAGTTTTGGTCCTGAGAAGTATACAGGTTCGAATGTGTTTGGAAAATTACGTAAATGTGTGGAATTATTGAAAGCACAGGTGAGTCTTTAGGGGGGAAATCTAGGAATGAAAGCATGCACCCCACACGCAGCCCCTTTCCTCTCATGCCAGGCATGTCGCTCTACGCCCCGCTAGTAGGAAGTGGGGCAGGAATAGTCTTCCGGCAGCTGACCACTTCCTTCCCTGCTCGTCTGTGTCCTTCCCAGTAATGAACGGGAGCGATGCTGTTCTACGCGATGATTACACCTATCACGGGCTAAGAGGGCTTTTGTGGACTGGCCGGGAAACCTTAACAATCACGTACCTCTGTTGTTTCCCCAGACAAATGTGGTGCAAGGTCCAGACAAGGCACTGGGAAATGCCCTTCTGAAATGTGCCTATTAGTAACTTAGGGACAGGACAGATGTTATAATTTGACTAAGATTGTTTTTCCTGCTCTGAATAAACACAGATTTTAGATCGCTGAAATGAATCCTCCTTGGGAAATACCATTTCTGTGCCATGGTTTTCTGAGCCGTAAAACTAAAATATGAATAGTCTCAACCCTGTACAGTTAGTTATTGTGAGGATTTAATGAGAGAATGCACGTAGATCGCTTTATGCTCCGCCCTGGCACACAGTGAGTGGTAAAGAAAGAATACTAATTAGTACTGTTCGCCACTGGAAAGTCCTTTGTGTGACCCAGCACCCTTAGAGGCAGCTTTAGGAAACTGACCTGTTTAGTATTTTACCTAGTAGGTGGTGCTTTTTTGAAAAACTAGTTTAAATGAAATATTTTGTTATTGTAAAAGTAATAAGTACTTAGGGTTAAAAAAATCAGTGTCAGATGATATAAAATGAAAAGTTAAAGTTCGACTCCCCTCTATTAATCTCTGGTTTGTTTTATAAGTACTTTAAAAATTATGCAGTGGTGTGTGTATTCACCTTTCCCGTTTAAGTTTCACTTTACATCTGTGTTTTTAGTGGACTGAATTTAGTGGAATTAAAGATTATCACAAGAGAGGAAGTATGTGCAACATCCTTTTCTCTGATGCTACCCTGGAATATAAACTTTACGAAGCTCTGAAGTTCATCATGCTCTATCAGGTCACTGAGGCCTATGAACAAATGAAGACCGGAAAGGTCATTCCCAGTCTTTTTCGACTCCTGTTTACCCGGGAAACCTCTTCCGACCCTTTAAGCTTCATGATGAATCACCTGAATTCTGTAGGTGACACGTGTGGACTAGACCAGGTAAATGGGGCAGGAGAATTGTGTGTGTATGATGAAGGACGATGCTGGCAACACTTGAGCCACATACGTGTTTGTTTGTAGTTTGCTTTCAGCCATGATAAATCCAGCTGCAAAGAGGTGGCGGGTGGGTATGATTGCCCTCAAGTGAGGAAAAGAAGAGTGATTGACAAACCTTCCTGCCCGGTGCTGGCTGCTGTGTCTTTGCAGCCCTGTGGCTGGGGAGTGGCAGTCCTGGGAGCGTTCCTGACCTTCCCGCTGCCTCTCAGGCAGTAACAGGCTTTCCCACAACAGAGGTTGTTACCCAGGAGGAAGTCCAGCTGCAAACTGAGGCAACCTCTGGGAGAGCATTTGGCTACTTAGTGCAGACAAATAGAAGTTATTGAAATCTGAAAAGAAGTCCAGACAGTGCTTTCATTTCCCCATAGAAAAGGGCTTTCGTTTTGCTTTGCTTTTCTTTCCTAGGAGGTGCTCAAAATCATCTGACGTTTTAATAAAAATTGATTTAAAACAATAAAAAAAAAACTGTTGGAAAAACAGTGTAACTTTTACTGTAAGCATTCCTTTATTAGTTTTTTTTTCCATGCAGCTTTCCCTGTGATTTCTTCACGCTACTCCCCAGAGACGTTTCTCCGCTTGTCCCCTGCCCTCCACGCAGCGGGCGTTCGTTTCCAGCTCTGTGCCCCCTCCCTGGTTCATGTGTGGGTCAGCAAGTACATCATCATCTCATGAGCTGCAGAAGGATACTCGCCCTCCGCTGGTGAGAGGTGGGAATTTGGAGATGTGTATCTGTGACCTCTCTTTCATCTCTTCCCCAGATTGATATGTTTGTACTTGGACACTCCCTGGGAGTGAAGATCAAAGTGTTCAGACTGTTCAGGTTTAACTCCAGAGACTTTGAAGTCTGCTACCCAGAGGAGTCGCCCGGGGAGTGGCCGGAGGTCTCCCTGCTGACCGAGAATGACCGCCACTATCACATTCCTGTCTTTTAAGTCTGCCTGGACCGGGCACCAGCTCTCGCCGGTGACAGTGGTCACACTTGCAAGTCATGTTTCTAGAAAAGCAAAGCTAGTATTGCTGCCATTGGAGGAATCGGGACCTCCGTCTCCAGGATTACAGGTACACTGGACGGAGACCCACGTGCCTTCCCTTTGTTTCCAGTGATTTCCTCCAGAGCCCCTACACTAATGTATTTGTGGGTTGGTGGTTTGACCTTGTTTGTAAAGGCTCTGGTCATTTCACACACAGCAGAGCACAAGGACATTTAGTCTGGGAAGAACAACAGGAAGAAAGCGAGAAGAAAACAAGCAGGGGAAAAGGACTGAAGGGAAAGAATTGCTTTGTCTATAATCTTGATGTTCTTTGTTAAGAATCTTGTCTTTGACGGATTTGGGATCTTCATAAACATGGCCTTATTTTATAAGCAAGCATTACCTTCCCGGGAATCTCTATGGTATACTGATTTTCCAGAACCATTCAATTAAGTTTAAAATTTGTGTGTGTGTGTGTGTGTGTGTGTGTGTGTGTGTGTGTGTGTGTGTATTTACACTCACATACACATAAACATGTATGATTTTATATATACATATCTAAACACATACTTACACATAGCCACTACTTTGTAATGTTGTACAATTTATCTCTCTCTCTTTTTTTTTTACTATTGCATCTGGCCAGTTTAATATGTTTTATATAGATCAAAAAGATAAATTCTGTAGATTAAGGCAACTGAATGACAATTATTGTACTGTCACAAAAATATTAAACGGTATATTTAATGTGTATTTACATGTGTATGTAATGTGTGTAGGGAGAATCCCTCCCAATCCCCAGAACCTGTAAATATGTTGGGTTAAATGGCAAAGGAGAATAAAGTTGCAGGTGGACTTAGGGGACTCATCCACTGACTGACATTGAAATAGGGAGAGGAGTCTGGGTTCTGCAGGTGGGCCCAACATAATCACAAGTGTCCTTAAAGTGGAAGAGGGACTTGGGAGAGGGTCAGTCAGAGGGAAATGTGAGGTACAATCAGAGAGAGATGCAACATTGCTGGCGTCGGTTACTTACAGCAGATACAGGAAGAAAGTTACTGCAGGTTCGGGAAGGAGCCACAAGCCAAAGAATGTGGGCGGCCTCTGGAAGCTAGAAAAGGCGAGGGAACAGATTCTCCCCTAGAGCCTCCAGAGAGGAACGCGGCCCTGCCGACGCCACTTTGATTTTAGCCCAGTGGAGCCCGTGTCAGACCTCTAGCCTACAGACCTGTAAGACAATAGATAATGCTATTTAAGTCGCTAAGTTTCTGGTAATGTGTTACAGCAGCAGTAGACAACTAATATACTCAGGCTCACTAGCTTTTGGTCATCTTTATTTTGGAAATACTTTTTCAGTTTATTTTGGTAACCTTTATTTTGGAGGTACTTTGCTCGTCTGTTTTGAATTTCAACAAATATTGGACACAAAATAACCTTTAAAATCTTGGCTGATGATCTACTACTTGAACGTTACACATCCCTTCTAAGACGTCTTAACATGTTTGATGCTAACGTTTTCTCACATTTCTGTATTTTACTGTTAACAAAAACGAGGTATGTTAAGTGCTGTGGCGTATGAAAATAACATTCAGATTCTTCTGTAATGGGGACGATCACCTGTATGTACTGCATAAGCCAGTGCTATGCCTGCTGTCGTTTTGTCTTCTGGGTGAAGAGCTGGAGAGTCACGAGCTCAGATCCAGGGGCTGTGCATTACCTTGACAGGCAGGCGAGGCAGCTGTTCTCACTAGATCTCTACAGCCCTTTCCTGCTTGGAGGCATCTGTGGCTGTGCGTCACCCCTGTCATTTAATTGACACTGTTGCAAGTCATCCCCTTGATGTGTAACTGTGACCAAGAAAAGATGAACTCTCCCGTCTGTGTTCACAAGCAGATATGATGACAGCCTGCAGCAGTTCTGCTGAGACTGATACACGTAGAATTGCTGCTCTGGACTCCCGGCTCCACCTGAGCCTGTCCAGGTATGTACCTGGCACGTGTGTGTTCCCGCTGGACTTGCATCTCCTTATCCAGTGCAATGATTTCCACATCAATCCAGGACTGAAAGGAAGAACTTTTTCACAGGGATGGGCAGCCTATAACTCTGTGACGTATCAACCCATGATGTTTATCCTTAACTCTGTTGGGGGGACGGGGCAGGGTGGGAAAAGAATTCTCTAAAAAGAGGGGCAAGACCAGATTGTGGAAAACATTTCGATACAATGAAAGTAAAAAATAAAGACGACTTCTCAGTAGTTGCTGTGTTTTGGGAAAGCATCAAAACAGAAGATTTTAAGGGAAGAAGAGGTACTCGGTGTTTTTATGTTTTTAATCCAGTTGTATAACTGAATGTAACAAACTAATTAAAAGGAACTGCATAGAAATTAGCACCACTTTTAAATGCCAACAATAAATTGGAAGTGAATTTCCTGTGTGATGCCAACATTTAATGTCTCTCTAACCTTACAGGGTTCAAATGATGAGAGGAATTTTAGCAAACATGAAAACGTATGCCCTTGTCCTTTTTTGATTTTAGAATAAGTTTCTCTCTTAAATTTTGGCCATGTGTGTCCACAATGAGGGGTTGTATGAATATTAGTACAAGACTGACTTTTTTATTGTGGTAAAATATACATAATATAAAATTTACCATTTTAACTGTTTTTAAATGTTTAGTTCAATGGCATTAAGTACATTCACATTGTGCAACTATTATCACCATCCATCCTTAGAACTTCTATCTGCAAGACTGACTTTTTTGATAAGCAAGTTTAATTCCCCCGCCTGGTACCTGGATTTCCTTTCCTTTTCACATTCTCTTTCTTTCGTGCCCTTCTAATCTATTTCCTCCAGCCTTAAAAGACCCTCAGTGTAAAGTCCAACGTGATGGAGGTTTAGGTGACCAAATGAGTCCTGCAAATTGTGTTTTGCTTTGTCTCCAAAGTAAAGAAAGAACTACAGATGGCTTTTGGTTTCATCCTAGGAACACTATCATTTGAAAGGTCCCCAAGAAACTGTATTAGTTCAGGGCCACCTTAGTGACTTGAATTTCTTGGATGTGGGCCTTCACAGCCCTGAACCAAAGTCATTTCCACCCACGGCGGGGAGCCAGGGGAAAGCCCCAGGGCCTTCTCTGGTGTACGGGAGAGCCTAAGACAGAGCTAGCATAGGTTCAGCCCAGCCTCCAGGAGAGAAGAGCAGCCCAGATCATGGGCATTACTGTTAATTTTCCAGGGACTTTCTGCAAATGAATTTTTGGATGGAAATATTTGTTTTTGTTATATATCAGATGATTTTCTCATATTTTAATGAGAGCTAAGAAAGACCATTTTAATTCTGTCCAAGCAGTCCTTGGGGAGGGGAAAAAAAATCTTAATTTATGAGTACTCTGAAAATGTTGGGAATCCACATTAAAGAAGGTATATGTTTTTTAACTGATAACTGACTTGATATGTGAAAACCTATACAAATAGGAATAAAGGAATGACTAATTCAGAATTAGTTCTCTTAAATAGCAAGTTTCTAAAGCTGTGTGGTTCTTTTTATAAGAATGTGTTTCACACTGCTTAAGACTATGTAAGTTGTTACTGTGTAAATTTTTAAAAAATATATTTTTATAGATCTAAAACTTTAATGGTCTATTGGGTTGCTTGTCATAAGTTGAATATTGTTTCATTACCTTAGTATTGACTATACTTAGGTTTCTATACTTTTATACTATATAGTATAGTATAAAGTATACTATATAGTATAAAAGTATATAGACTATACTTTTCTCTATAGTCACTCAGTTTCCTTCAAATCCTGTTTGTCACAATGTTTGATTTATAGTCAGACACAAAATTAAGTGGGTCCAAATGGTACAATCACTTTTATATTATTTGCTGAAAACAGTTGAGTCGTCCCTCAATTCACTTTGGTTTTAATCCTGTCATACTCCTCTAGGCTAAGAAAATGAAAGCTTATCTGGACTACATTTATGCTTAATATCAACATGGTTTATAAGTGATAGAAAAACTACTCACATATTCAGTCAGCCCGGGACCAGAAGGTTCTGTAGAACAGCCAGAAGTACACGCCATATGTCTGAACTGGAAGACCATAGAATGCGCTTTAGGAAACAAGAGCTCAGCGTGGAATGAGTGTGATTCAAAGCCAGCGTGGATGAGTGGACCACATGTGGGACGTTCAAGTTATATTCCTATCCGGTGTCTGGAGAAAATACCACTCTCTGTTTTAAAAAAAAAAAACAAACCAAAGGTTCTGAATATAATTGATCCATTGGTCCTCATAGTCAACGTCATCAGGTCTCAGATTATTTAAGTCATTTTGCTGCCACCAGTGTCACTTAGTCACTTGGAAAATTTAGTCAAGACAATTTCCTAAAATTTTTTTTAAATGCTCACTTTAAGTATTTTCAACTTAGTCTAGATGGGTTGTAAAACCCATTTCTGTACAAGTAGTTTATTTAAATAAGGAATGTGCCCTAAGAAGCATTCCTGAGGTACAGAAATATTTTTTCCATTGAAATAATCTTTGTTTACAAATAGGCTTTCTTATTTCTAACTTATAAAACCTCAGACGGAACATCTGGACAGAACCATATAGAGGATGGTAGTTAAAACTATCAGCATAGCATTTTACTATTCTGTTTTACTCATCCTCGAGTTTGAAAAGGTGGGGCGAAGGTCAAATCAGTAATGCTAGAAGGCTTCATGGACAACGTATAACTTTACTCCATTGCTCCTTACCATACATCAACACCTTTGTAAGGACAAACATGAAGGCCTGAGACTTTCCTGGCCCCATGTCTTTTTATCACTGTCATCCCCAAAGACAGAATCTGGGAAACAACTTGGGATCTACTTCCTGTACCTTCAAGTCTCGGCTTTTGTCCACTGCTCAGTGTGTGCATGGACTTCCTTTGGGTGCTGGCTTCCCTGTTGGACCGAGCTTCATGGG